CGTGTCAGGCTACATTTCACTGTGTGTTATACTTGTATAACTATGCATGTGACAAATAATAAAGAACCTTGAACCTTGAACACTGAGGACCCTTGGAGCCCTCTTCGTCCTCCATCCTCCTCCTCACTGCAGGTGTTGCTGCGCTGCAAACCTATCTGATGATAGAAAAATGTCGTCCCAGAATTGTTCTGCTGGGGGACGGAAAAATTATTTCATTTAAGATGTTTTTCCTTTAATTTGGTTTGCACCAAAAAGTGTTGCTAAAGGAGAGAAAGTGTAAAATCCAGTTGGAGTTTAAATGTTAGCGCCTGCAGGCGGTTTCATAGTGAACAGTGAAAAGAGGCTATGAAAGCTAAATTATGCAGGAAAAAATAATGAAGCAGATCTGTGTGAGCGTGAGGTTGAGGGAGCGAAATGTAAAGAGTGTCTATCATGTGGCTGTGATTGGCTCTCTCCCCGAGACATGTTTTTAAAGCCCTGACGCGTTATTAATAAAACAAACTCTAATAGAAATATCATTGGGCTTATTTTTCAATCAGGCCCAGCATCGCTGCAATCCGCAAAGCGTGACATTAATTAAAGATTGATGGCCAGGCCCTTCATCTGAGCCACGACTGATCCTGTAATTAAAATGACAAAAAAAGATTTATTTATAGAAATTTGTTCGACTTGTTTCATTTCCTTGTCAGCAGGGCCTGGGTTTCCTCCTTTAGCGGAGAGAATTAACGCACACATCCTCCCCCCCCTCGTCATCCCGGACTGATGGACGCTGTCTTAATGAGCAGAAGTTTGTGCTCGTGGGCTTGCGGCAGCCTCGAGGCCCTCGGAGCTCCTCCTTTTCAGGCCAACTTTTCAAAGGATAAGAGTGAAAGTTTCAATGACCTTAGTTCAGCAGGAATTCAGAGAGAAAAGCAAATACAAACGAAACAGCTTTGCATTTTTATTTTGGTAAAGTAATTATGCAGTCTCTTGGAGTTTGACGTGCTTTCTAATGAGTTCTCCCAGGACCTCTTTTATTTGTGTGTTTGTTATTTTTAAGCTTGATTAAGTCCCCTTGTATTTAGTGCCGAGAACAATCGAATCAAGAGAGGGAAGATTAACTCACTTCACCTGCATCTTCAAGGAGGTGCAAACATTTGCCTTTTCTTTGTGCTGAAGTTGGTCCGAGGCCCGACCTCCGTACATCGCCTGATCTCGGTTATACTGATCCTGTTTACTCTGAGAGTCTTACATCCGCCGGTCATCTGAGAAACATGAAATGCTGGAAACCGTGATCAGCTCTGATTGGATGGATTACCATACCATCTTTATTTATAAAGCACTTTAACATAAAACCAGAGTTCACAAAGTGCTGTAGATGCAAATAGCATAAGCAAAGTAAAAATAAAATAAAAATAAGATAAAATAAAATAAGATACAATAAAATAAATATATAAATAAATAAAATAAAATAAAACATGTTAAAACAAGTTGAGTCAACCCCCCCAGGCCATTATGAGATTTTAAACCAAATAAGAGAATTTTAGAAACAATCTGTCTAGGATGTGAGTGGGCGTTAAGGCGACTGTGAGCGACCATCTTTGAACAGAGGCGGGGTTTACGACACCAACTCTCTGCCATCTATAATCCAGTTTTGAGATCCCTCCCCAGACGCCTTAACACCCACTCACATCCTGGGCCATCTGATCCCAGGAATTCGCATGATAAGGTGGGGCCAGGTTTCACAATGA